GCTGGGCAGAGCGGGTGTGGCGGAAGCCGGGGCAAGGATCCGGGGAGAGCTGGTGGCCTTCAGAGCCTGTGGGAAGGCAGGGACTCTCTTCCTCTTCTGTCTTAGAGCTTTTCCTGCATCTCTGGAGAGCTGCGTTTCGCACTCTTTTTTTTTTTTTTTTCCTTATCATTGTCTCTATTGGGAAAAAGTTGATTAGGTTTAAGTTTTTCCACGTGAGAAACATTAAAAAATCAGACATAAGATTTTTCCAGGTAGCTTTGGAGGGCCACAAGCCACTGTAATATCTAAGACTTTCTTGCCCCTTTCCAAGAATCAATTTCCTCTTTCGAGAATACACGTGACGGAAGAATGGCTTTCCTGCTGAGAAAGCTTGCTACCCAGAAAGGGAATCTCTCATGTTCTCTCCTGCCTGCTTGCTGTATTTCTTGTCTTCTAAATTTCTAAGGATGAGTTCAGCTGCATGTTACAGGGATACTGATTAAACTGCCTGAGACCGAAGGGATGTTTACTGAAGAAGTTTGGAGTTAGGTGCAGGGGCTCAGTAAGGCCATCAAAACAGAGGTTCTCGTCCCCTCATCGATCCTCAGGGTGTCGGATGCCTCCACTCTTGGCCACAAGGTGGCGGTAGCAGCTCCAGGCATCTGGGCCCCGCCGTCTGCCTTTGTTGGGAGACGGAGGGAGAGAGACAGGACAACAGTGAAAACGGACAAATGACTAACAACCAAATAATAGTTGCTAATTCTCTCCCTCTCTCTCTCTTTCCCCCCACTCCCCACACTCTGTTACCTTTTGGCTTTACTTAACTAGTATTCCCCAAACCCACATGGGAACCACTATACATTCAAATGGAAGGATACCCTAGTCATAGCATTAGCTGGTTGGCCCTTAGCAAATTACTTACCATCTCTGGGCCTCAGCTTCCTCATTTATAAAGTTAGGGTCACACACCAGATGCCTTTTTACATAAACTTATATGAAGAGTGCCGATGAGAAGATTCTTGAATCCAACTTTTGATGAATGTACACATGCATTTCTGTTGTGGTCCAGGAGCGAAACTGCTGGGTCACGTGATGTCCGAATGTTCCTCTTCTCCATAGACCGGAACACTGCCATGGAGCACAGAGTCAGTAAACGGGTTTTTCCATCTGATCCAAAATCCTCTGCTCAGTGCCAGGGCTCCCAGTCCTTGTCAGCTCAGTGTCTTCTCCAGCCCCACCTCTGTAATGGGGCAACCACCACGAAGAACACACGCCCACCACCCACCCACTCTGGAGCTGCCTGTGAGCAGAGACTACCTGGTGATGGCGGTGAATTTCACCTCTATGGCCAGATGAGGCCCTGCACGACCAGCCAAAAGAAGTTCTGGGGCTCTGGGAAATCTTCGTTGTGAGACACTTCGCAGCCAGCACTGCAAAATGAATCTGTCGACAGATAACTGAGGTCATGCGAGGCCTTCCAAACTTTCAGCACCTGGTAGATCCTCAATAAAAGTAACCATAAAAGTTTAAGGGTAAAGGACCCTGTGATAGCATTTCGTAAGAGAAATTGATGTTTTGAGCACTTTTCAACAAACAGGAGATTTCTCCAAAGCAAGCACTTATGATACTATTTACAAAAGGAGGTTTGGAATGTCAGTTTCTAGCTTAGAGAAGCGGGCAGAGCTTTGGGAGGGTGTTTGTCAAAGCCTGAGCATCAGGTGGGCGGTCCTTAGAACACCGCGATTCCAGTCCCCACCCCAGAATCAGCATCTCTTAGACACCTGCATTTACACCCACTCCCAGGTGCTTCTCGGGCACCTGTCCATGACCTGTGCTGCATTGCCCACTGCAGAGGGTCTCCATGCTTTTGGGGCCGGTCACTCCAATATAGAAAGGGGAAGGGTCCTATGATTTACCCATGAGCATCTCTGCTGGTGCTGGGGCAAGGTCCAATCTCTTGTTTGCAGAACTCTTCGGGTCTGGCCTCAAGTGGACCTGCTGGCGTCCACTTTTTCCTGGGACGTCGTTGGCTGAGTCCACCCAATTTTGCCTCACTCAGCGATGGTGCCTTCTCAGTTGCCCGTCTTGTTCGAGGCAGCCCTCTGCAGCTTTTTCCCTGTCACTCTGGATGCCCTTAAAAAAACCTCCGTTGTCCTCCTCCGCCGGCCACTTCAGAAGGGGCTGGTGTTATTCTGGGGCAGAGTTTGCGATGCCATATAGAATAAAGCTATGATTGTATTCAAAACCAGAGGCGGGTGAGCGGCAACACAAACATGAATGCAGCCGAAGCACATGCTGTACCAGGGGAGGCAGAGAGAGAAGGCTCCGCTGTGACTCGGCTTTGTTTCTGGCGTCTGGGTGCTCATGTGAAGTCCTCACAGACTTGCTAGTGAGGCTTACAGGGCTCCAGCTTGGCGAACGTGGAACCCTGGGGCCTAGGGCCCCACCTCCTGAAAGGCACCACCCTGAAGGCCTAAGATTCCCTGTGGATGGGGAAGGCCCCGTGCTCTGTTCTTGGATTCTGTGGTTTCTCCCCCCCAGGCCCCCCATGCATGTGTATCTAGGGTGTTCTTCCTTAGAGCTCAGCCCAGGAAATCCACGCTCCCCCCCACGAATTCCACCAAACGCTAGAAACTTCTGTCCTGATATGAATGAAAACTTCACATGTTTCCTCCTTACTACCACGTTGCTTTGAAAACTTTTAGCAAAAGCACAGTCACCTACTCCGGGACACTTAAGAGTTATTTCAGTGACAGTTTTCCACCACAAAGAACACTGAAACACAACAGGAAATGGTGAGTATGAATAGGCAGTCCTGGGCTAAAACGGAATGGTGGAAACTTTGTAGCAAAATGTTTTCCACAGAAGTTCACTTTCTTTAGTTGTGATGACTACCCACTGGGTCGTTGTGGCCACATGCCACTGACCAACCAGGAAACTGGAAAATAAATAAATAAACTGCCTCGTATGGCCTTTCAGGAACTGTGGGTATTTTTTTTCTTTTTGTTTTGTTTTGGGGGTTTTAGTGAGAGCATAGAAATAGGGTACTCTGACCCAAGCTGAAAAAGTTGGAGTGCAGCATGTTTCACTGGGAAAACTGTACGACGATCATTTCATAAGAATAGTGCAGCCCTGGCTGGTGTGGCTCAGGGGACTGAGCACCAGCCTGCAAACCGGGGGGGCCCCGGTTGGATTCCCGGCATGCCTGAGTTGCAGGCTGGGGCCGGGGACCCGGGGTGGGGAGCTCGAGAGGCAGCCACCCATGGATGTTTCTCTTCCTCTTTTTCCCTCCCTTACCCTCTCTCTAAAAGTAAATTAAAGAAAAAAAAATAGTAGCAGAAACCTGAGAGAGAGGGAGAGGAAGGGGTTTGACATGTAAGGGGCATCTATTCCACGCTGGCATTTTTCTAGGATTGTTAGAGAACACGCTACTTCATCCTCACAGTCACCACCTGTGGTAAGTATTGTTAAAGGCCCCCTGTGCTCCTTCTTTCTAGGTTAAAAACAGGTTCATTAAGGTTAGGCAACTTGCTCACGGTCACCCACTTGTGGTGACTGAGGAGGAATTCAAAGGTGACTCCCTTTTCTCTCTTCCCTGTCTGCCGCAGAGAAAGCTGTGCGGAGTCTTAATAAGATCTCCGTTATGTTCAGGGAGCCTGGTTGTTAAAATGCATAATGCCGTTCAATAAGAAACACCTATGGTATACACCTATAGAAAACTCATTTCTAGTTATACTCATGCTGCTTCTTGTAGTGCTAATCAGAAGAATGGTGACTAGGGTCTGTGGTCATTGTGAAGCAACTGTTGACTCTAGAAGGTCGTTTTACCCAATGCCAAGAGAACCAAACGCTGGTGTTTCTGTGAGGGAGATGCAGCATCTAAAATTGTTCCCTGTGTCCTCCGAGCCCTAGTCTCCCCACCAGGCAGACCCACGTGGGGAAAGAGGCCCAGTGAGTCACACCTGAGAAAATAAGGAAGATCTCCCAAGTTCTCCGAGTCTCTGAGTGGTGTTTTGGGTCAGCCTCGACTCTCTGCATTCTCCTGCTGAAGCATCACTTGCTTCCAGAGGAAAGTGTGCTGTTGACCACAGTGAATCCCACCTTTGGGATTTGTCAGGTGAGATGGGGCAATCCCATAGTGCTTGGGAACAGATAGGGAAAACGTGCTCCCTCACCATAAGCCACCCCATGTGTTACTTTGTATCCATCTGTTCTTGCCTGGGCTGATAAGCTCTACTGACGTGGCCCTAAGAACAAAAGTTGCAGAGACAAGTAAGGTGGGATAAGGAAGTGAACTTCCACTCCCAAAGAGCTGAAGTAATGCCTTAACTCTCTACTCTCCCAGCAAATAATGCCGAGAATCCAACTAGGGCTTCCAGCTAGGCCAAAGGCCCAGAAAGGAAGCACAAAAGCGTGAAAAAAGAGCTTAAACCTCACGTTCTTTCAAAGGGCAGTTCGGTCAAGGTGTGCGTTTAAAAGTCACGTATCATTTGTAGCGCCCCCTCTCTTTATTTTCTGGTGCTCCCTCTTCTGCGGTTTAACGCAACATAAACCCCGCTTCGCTGCAGAAGCGAGGTGGCACGGGGATCTCGGCGTGCACTTGAAGAAATCTCACGCAGTCTCCTTGACTTGTTCTCTATTTCCTTTGAACCTAATAATAGCATTTTATGCCATTCTTCTGTAGGCCTCATAATCCCTTCCATTTCGGGTTGTTTTAAAGGCCAGACTATCTCAAGCCACACGGGTGTTCCAAAGACCCCAGACCCCAGCGTGGCTGCCCGCGGGCGCCTCAGTAAACGCGGGTGGAATGGAACAACAGGATCCTCCAACGTCTTTTTCCACCTCTGATTTCCGTTAAACATTTGCTCGGAGGGCAGCGCGCAGTCTCCGCGGGGCCGGTCTCTCCCAGGCGAGGCTGGACACTCGGAGGGCAGCCGCCGAGGGCCCCGGGCGCACTTCCTGCGGGGCGGCGGGCGGGGACACAGCCGCCCGCCTCCCCGCCCCCCGCCCCCTCTCGCGTCCCCCCGTCTCCCTCCGCCTCCCCGGGCGGCCGAGGCGCCGCGGGGGCGGGGCCGCGCGAGGCCGGGCGGCGTGGCGGTGCTGGCTGGCCGCCCGCGGCCAAGGTGCGAGCGGACCGCGGCGGGCCCGGGCGCGGAGCGGGGGCGCGCGGCGCGGAGCAGCTCAGTGCAGCGCGGCCCGGCGCGGGCGAGACGAGCCCGCGGGCGGCGGCGGCGGCTCCCAGCCCGGCGGGTGCAGGGCCTCCGACTGAGCTGCGGCGGAGCGGGGCCTCGGCCCGGGCGCTGGGGGAGCCCGCCGCGGCGGGCAGCGGCAGGAAGCGGCGGCGGCGCGTCCCGGGCGGTGCGCGCCATGTCGGGCGGGCTCCCCAAGGCCCTGCCGTCCACGGGGCCCCACTCCCTGCGCGACATGCCGCACCCGCTGGCCGGCTCCAGCAGCGAGGAGGCCGTGGGCGGCGACAGCACGCCCAGCCCGGACCTGCTCACGGCCCGCAGCTTCGCCGACAAGGTGGGCAGCGCTTAGCCGGGGGCCGGGAGGTTCCTTGCTCTCCCCGAAGGGACGATGGATGCCGAGCTCCCTCGGGCACCGGGCGGCGCCCACCCTGGGCGCCCCTTCCCGGGGGCGGGCGCGCCCTCGCCCCCGGAGCCTTTGGAAAAGGCGTTTCCCCTCTGTCACCGCCGTGGGGTCGCGGCCTCAGGGGAAGCGACCAGAGGGGACGGCCTTGCGGGGCTTGGGTCTCCAGCGCTGGTGACAGCTGGCGGGGAGGGGTCCCGCCGGCGGGCTGGGGCCGGAGGCGTGGGTGCAGCGCGCGGCGCGGGGGCCTGGGGATGGGGTCCCAAGTTCCTCCAGGCGCATCCCTGAAGGCTGAGCTGCAGAGTAACTTGTAGCTCCTCCAGTTTGCTGGGGCTGCCAAGAAGCGAGAGTTAATGGTTTTCTGAAGCCGGACTGGGCAGCCTCGATCTTACTGCCAGTCGTCTTCCTCCCCGTCGGTCATGTGGGGAGGGACCTTTGTCTAGGTTTGTAGTGCGCCCTGACAAGTCACCTGACTCAGACCCCAGCCGTGGCGGGAGGAGGCTCGGCTGCGGTTTTCTGTCTGGGGCTTCCTTCACCTCTGACGGCCTCCCACACTGTTTAGGTTTGGCAGCCGCTGGTTTTGTGGTTGATGGAAAGAAACTCGCCCTTTGACCTTCTTTGTGCCGAGTGCGGCTCCTGATTTTCTTAGAGCAGCGCGAGCCTCCTGCCGCTTTGAGAGACAGCAGAGCCCAGTGAGGGGAAAGCGGCCGCGTGCCCCATCCCCCGTCTCCATTTCAGCTGTGACCGGGACTTGAGCTGTGATTGTATTGGCGCTGCTGTTGACACTTGTCACTCATTGCAGAAATCAGAATCGATCTCAACACTTGGGATCGGTATTTCCTCCTTCTGGTGAAATATGAATTCCTTCTTGTCCTAATACTAAATGAAATTAGGGGCACCTAACTTTCTTTCCCCCTTAGATGGGAGGGCATTTAACACAATAAAAATGCGTATGCCTGCAGTCAAAATAGCTAGGCAGGGCTTCTTGATGAACCTTCTTGAGAGGGTTTGTAAAGGCAAAGAGTGGGGAGTGGGGGCTAAAGCAATAGGAGCAAGAAGACTTAAAAAGCTAATAAAACCAGTGGTTCGAGTGGCTTGAGATGTGTGTGGGGGGGCTCTTTGTGATTGTGTTTTTTTATTTTATAGATTACACACTATAGGAAGGCTTATTTCTTTCGCAAATACCTTCCCCGTATTTGACACTCGATAAGTAATTGTTGAAATACCTGAAAATAATTTGCTGCTCTTTTATGGAAAGCGAAATTGTCCTGCATGTATGTTGATGAGGAACTGAGGTTAAATCTTTTGATTTTGATCTCAGGTCTGTGTAGGATAATGAATGGATGATCTATTGCTGTGTAACAAATTACCCCAAAATTTAGCATCTGAAAACAGCACGCGAGGGTCAGAAATCTGGGAGCCCTTTGGTGGGGCAGCTGTGACTCAGGTCTGTCATGAGGTGGCTGCCGATGAGGGTTCACGAGGGTTTCCACCATCTGCAGTCTGGACCCGGTGGGTGGGGGGCTCCAGGCTCACTCACTTGGCTACTGGCAGGTCATAGTCCCTCTCCATCGGGCTCCTTGCTGTGGTAACTGGTTTCCTCCAGAGCGAGGGATCCCAGAAAGCGAGAGATCCCAAGATGCAAGCCACAGTCTTTTATAATCTACCACTTGGAAGTGATAGGCCGCAGAGACTAATGCTGGTGCAATGTGGGAAGAGGGTACAAGTGTATCCACAGGTCCTCCAATAACATCATTTCGTTATAACATTGAAGAGATGCTGTGGGAGCTTAAGTCTTGTTTATGTAATTAGCTTATGATTTTATTATGTGTAGTATCACTTAAAGTCACAGAACTGATCAACAACACTGCTAGGGTTCCCTGGGGCTGTCTTGGGGGCTGGCTGCTACAGGTGGTTATTTTAAATGTTTGCCTAATGAGCCACTCTTCATAATGATGCATACTTCTGAGTCAGGAGGACACCTGACTCAGAACTATGGGCATTTTACCAATAAAAACTGGGAGGACGGATGCCCTGCACCACCCAGATCTCGTTGATGGGCAGGAAGTGAGGCCCAAGTCTGATTCCTGCTGCCTGCATTTACAGAGACACTTCCGTGAGAGAGACGGTCTTGAAGACCTCATTATAATTATTAATTATTTAATAAGGCTCCTATAGCTGTAAGGAACATCAAAATGACATCACTCCCAAGGGCCCGATTTATAGTAAGCCACTTTTCCTTAGAGGCTAAACAATGTGATTTCTATCTTCGACCAGGAGTAACATTTTCCTTGAATCCTGGCATGCACATATGTTTCATAACTGGAGAAATTTCTGTAGAGAGAAGGCAACAGAGGTGAATCAGCACCAGTGGAAGGAAGGCTTCCCTTTGCCCTGCTTTTCCTTGCCTCGGCAGCGTGGAGGGCAGGTAGGAACAGTGAGTTCTCTGGTCTTTCTTTCTGTTCTGTTGCTTTTTTGGATAATAGGGTTGTGATCCTGGATGCCTGCTTCAGAGTCAGTTCTGGGCTTGGAGAGTGAAGATTTGCCAGGCTGCTTAGTGAGGAGAACTGCCTTCTGTGGCCCCAGGTTCAGCAGACACTGACCTGGTCCAGAATGACCTCTGGGTGCTGGGAAGGAGGGAAAGGCCATAGGTGATGGCCTTTCCACCCAGAGAATCTAATATCATTCAAATCATGGAGTGATGGGAGGAATCCTTTCTCTCTGCCAATGATTGCTAGGACTGATTCTTTTGACACCAGCTAAACTCCCCAGGCCTTTTATCACCACATCCTTTATCTCCACCTAAAATAGAAGTAAGCTACCCTGGCTGGTGTGGCTCAGCGGATCGAGCACCGGCCTGCAAACCGAAAGGTCATGGAGTTTGATCCCCATTCCTGGTCGATGTTATGTTTCTTTCTCTCTCTTTCTCCTTCCCTTCCCCGCCCCCCTCAAAATAAATAACTAAAATATTTAAAATGTAAGTCAACCATTGGCCCATGGTTTACTCTTTTTCACTTTTCATCTGCAAACTTCTCTGGGCTGCCTCTCCCCTGACTCAGCCTCCAACTCCTGGGTGTCTCCCGAAACTTAACATCAAGCCCTCTCACTGTGGTTAACACCCTACCCACATCCTCAACCTCTCTGCTGAACTCTTACGTCTACTTCCTGCCCCTAGGTCACTGCCAACCCCCTGCAGTCTTTGAAAAGCAGGTGTCTTTTCCTCCCGTGCTCCACTCACATCAGGCTCAGGAGATGGGGGTTCATGTCCTTTCCCTCCACGGCCTCTTCTAACCAAGTTCTGCTCCTTTGAGGCTCATGTCATTTTATTTGTTCATTCAGCAAATATGTGAGGGCCTGCTAGGAGTCACGCAGTGTTCTAGGAAATTGAATTGAATCAACCAGGGGAAGACCCCTACCCTCACTGGGTACATTTAATGAGTACATGCTATATTATGTAATAAATTCTAAGGAAAGAAGAAGCAGAAGGGCAGGGAGGTGTTTGGGATCATTGGCCATGGGAATGGGGACTCGACGAGGGCTCATCGAGAACTTGAGATTGGAGCGGAGATTTGCAGGAGGTGAGGGAGTTTGCAGGTGGCTGTCTGGGGGAGAGGCCAGGTGAGGGGACAGCTACAGCAGAGGCCTGAAGGCACACTGTGGGGTGGCGGGGCAGGGGGTCAGGGAATAGCTGAGAGGCCGGCGTGGCTAGGGTGAGTGTGCAGTGGGAGAGTCGTAGTCTGGGGGGGCGTGGCGGTGGGGGCTCGGTAGGTCACCCTGGGAACATCAGCCTTTGCTTCTTGAGCCATGGTGGGGTCTGGAGCAGGGGGACGGCATGGTTTGGTTTACATGTGGAAAAGGGCCGCACGGGCTGTTGCAGTGAGAATCCTTCATGTGACTGGTCCACTGAATTAGGCTTCTTTTTAGTTAAAAGAATATTAACTGAAAAGCCCCAGGTATTTGGCTTCAGGGGTGGCTGGAACTAAGGATTCAGATGATGTCGGGAACCTGTCCCTTTCCTCTCGGCCCCGCCTGCTCTCTTCTGTGTTAGCTTTCTTCTCTAGCTAGCAAAGTGATGGGTTATACAAACAAGCTTCACGGCGCTAGCAGAAGGACAGCATCTCTTCCCTGATAGTTCCAGCAAAAGCTTGGGCTGGCGTCTCATGGGCCTAAACTGGGTCAGGTGCCGAAGCCAATCTTTGTAATTCCGATTGCTCAGACCTGACACGGGTCCCTATGTTTAGAGCCTGGGGGAGGGAAGTTTATGTATGTGTGTTAGAACTGTGAAATATATACACAAAGTATATAAAGTAGATCTCTATGATCTAAGGGATAAAATGTATCTATGTGGTTGAACGAATTAAATGAATAATAACATGAACCGTGGGGGGGGGGCTCCGCCTGCAGGGCCCCCACCGCCCACAATCCTCCACAGATGAGAATAAGTCTACCAAGACTTGATCTGCTTGGGAAGGAAAGGTGGCCAATCTCTCAAAGGAGAAGGACTTAGAGTCTTTTCCTCAGTGGGCTTTTATTGGGTTCATTTTGCACAGGAATACAGGTAAAGCTCATTAATCATTGTCAGGCAGTAAGGATCAAATAATAGATAACATTCAAAGAACTAGGAGAGCTTATTCTGAGTCAGGGGCTGTTACCTAAAGGGTTATAAAACTTTGGGAAACAAACTCATTTCCTACTCAGACCCTTATCATTTAGTTGAGAGCATTCTTAGCAAAGCAGGTTTCACAGGATTTTATATATTCTTTTTCAGGCCTGATCACCCCAGGGAACCGGCCCTTTCCAGCACAGGGCTGCACCGCCCTCTGTCATTGTTTCAGGCTTAAGTCAGGCAGAGGAAGTAAGGCAGCCAAGAGATTAGGAGACTTCTAGACAGAATGAGGACTCAAGCTATGCCAAAGCCCAGGGGGTGAGGGTCC